CCGGGGAAGATTGGCCCTGGGCTAACATCCGTGCCCATCTTCCTCTACTTTATATGGGACGCTGCCACAGCATGGCTTGACAAATGGTGCATCAGTGCACGCCCGGGATCCAAACCTGGGACCCCCTGGCTGCCGAAGCGGAGCATGTGTACTTAACCGCTTGCGCCACCAGGCCGGCCCCTCTCAATAATTCTTTCGTTTAAAAATATTCTTGACTTTATTCAGAAAAATTTCCTGGCAGGGACCTGGACTATAAGAAACACTTATAGTCTCATTGACCAATTCCAATTTATTTTCCAGAAGAAAAATTTTCTTTTAAATGAAAAATCAAAGCTTACCCTAATTTCTACCTAGTCGTTCCATTTAAGTTAGTAAGGTGTGCAGACATGTCAAATGCTACTTGATGAACTATAAGGATCAACATTTCGGGGGGTTGCTAAAATCTACTCATTTCATACAAGAGCACAATGAGGCACCAGAGTGACACTGGAGAAAACCACTCACTCAAACTGAAGAAAGCACACAGTGGAGGCTAGCTTCCACGGTCTAAAAACTAGTGCTTTTGACATTATGGTATTTCTCATTGACCGAAACTGTAGATAGCTATCCTTACTCTACTATGGTAACCAAATAGTCAAATATGAAAAAAGTATACATTAACTATACTGTAAATGATTTTTACATACTTTTGCTGAATATAACAATCCTTATAGTAAACCATTGGTATACAGAGCAAAGCTAAATTTAGTAGGCTTAAGAGGGAAAATAAACCTAAGACTGAGCCCCAAGAAGGCCTGGCATTGAAAGACTGAGTAGAAGAGTGGCCAGCAAAAAAGAATGAGGAAAATACCAGAGAGGTAAGAGGAAAGTCCAGAAAGAATGATGTCATGGAAACCAAGGGAAGAAGGTGCTTCGAAATGGAGGGAGTGCGCAATGGCGTGAAATACTGCTGAAAGATCAAGTGAGATAAGCACCGGGAGGGCAAAGGCAAGCGTGCAGAGCAGTGAAGCAGCCTGACAAGCCAGTCCCCACGACTGGCATGGTGGCGGGGGGAAGGAGGGCAGGGAGAAGGAAAGAGTCAGTGCGGGAGGGGGAAGCAGCCAGCTCAGGAAGAGCCTTGTCCACCATGCTAAAGAATATGTGGTTTACATTGTCAAAATATAAAAAGCCACCTACTAATTTTAGATAGAAAACTAGAAAAGCAAAAAGTTCAGAATTGTGTTTTTAAAAGATACACTTTTGAAACTACTACTACTTTGGTAACAACCTAAAGGACAGATTAGAGTGTCAAAAAGAGTCAGGAGACTATTGTAATGGTTCAAGCTAGACCTGATGAGGGCCTTGGTGACCAACATGAC